TCCCTCCCCTCCCCCCCCAAAAAAATTGAAGACGAAAAAATGTTTTTCTAGTGACTACAGTTACGAAGTTTGTTTTATGTTTTCATTTTTTCAGTTGAGGCTCTATTTCTGTTTTACAGTGTACTCTTTATTAGAGATTCTGAAATTATCAGTAACATTTACAAAATCAACCCATCAGGCTTAATTAATCTGAACTTCATAAAATGGAACCTAATTTTATAGTCCTTACATATTTTTTTAGATTTGTTGGGCGATTTAAGTCTCGTAAAGAACGAGAAGCAGAACTTGGAGCTAGAGCAAAAGAGTTCACCAATGTTTACATCAAGAATTTTGGAGAAGACATGGATGATGAGCGCCTTAAGGATCTCTTTGGCAAGTTTGGTAATGTGTCTGAATTAAATTTTTACACTCAAAAGTTTTGAGTAATTGCTCAATATTAGTTCTGGCTAATTTTACTAAAAATATATGAAAATATTTACATGGTACAGTACTTAAAATATTTATAGTTTTTTGGATTAAGCTACTGATAGTCTTATTATACTACAGAGTAGTATATAAATAGAATTCTATCCACTTTAAAGATTAATAGCATTGTATTAGCACTGTAAGGTGTGACTGTAATTGGACCAGATTTAAAAGGTTTTGCTTTGTTAAATGGTGGTGGACTTAACCACTTACAAATCCCATCTCACCAGAGGCACGCATATGACACAGCCAACTTAGGTTGGAGTGCAGTGTTTAATTATGGGACAGGAAAGCTGGCCAGCTTTAGGCTCTTTGGTCATTATCAATAGCATGTTTGAACAATTTAAAAAACTGACTTTTAAAGAAGGCCAAAGATCCAGATTTTCCAGGGATATCTCCTTGGGATGGCCTCTTGATATCTCCTTGGAATCTTAAGTACTATTCCCTTGCATTTCAAATTAATTTCATTAAACTTCAAGTGTATGAAGTATAACCAGCTTTACTTTAGATAGTGTGTGTGTGAGCAGAAGATGAACTTGTATACTTTTGCATATGATTTGCTTGCTCCATACTCTTTGTTTTCCTTGTGTTGAACTTTGGTGGCTTTTTTTTAAAGCACTTGAAATGATAAAGAATTAGGAAATCTAATATGTTTCTATTGCCAAGCTAACATTCCACATTGAACGTCTCTACTTCTTTAAGCAAAAAAAAAATGGTTATTTTGCACAAAGATGAATTGTGTAAGATGAGGAAAATGTCATTATTTCTAAAATTGGGTTGGATATTGTTAACCACTTATTTCAAATGAGTAATGCTGTCAGTTGACCACCAATATGTAAGTTTGTCAATTATATTCTTTTTATGGCTTTGCATAGCAGAGATTGAAAGTACAACCTTAGTACCAAGGCACATTCAGAAATAACAATCTACCTATGCTCATACATCTTGCAAATTCTCTACAATCAAATGTGATTTTTAGCCTTTTTTGCCCCGCCTACCTGAGATAATACCCACCTCAGTTAAGTGTCTTTTTCACTTGAGGGGGTGTGGAGGGGGCATGTGAATTCAGAAACATGCCACCTCCAGGTGATTCTTGGTCTTCCCAAATGTCAGACCCTGTATTCCCTCAACTGACTGTTGAAATCAAGTGGGCTTAAGAAATTCTTATTTGTCAATTCTGATGTTAAGGAAACCAAATTGTTGGGTTAAAAAAAAAACAACCCCACAAATCTGTTTTGTACTATTGCTAAGAATAAAACTTCATTTTTTTACAGACTTCATTTTTTTACAGTTGTCTAAAACATACCTCCATAAATGGAAGTAGGAATGTTTCAGGGAACAGAGTATTTACTTAGCTTCTTAGTAGAAATAAAGGGTCTTTGAAGAGACTATTTAATGCCTATGCATGGCTTTGTTTTTGTGTGTTGAAATTTGAAATGTATAAACTAAATGTTGTATGGAATATCTTTGAGTCATTAAAAAAAATTTTCTTTTAGGACCTGCCTTAAGTGTGAAAGTAATGACCGATGAAAGTGGAAAATCCAAAGGTTTTGGATTCGTAAGCTTCGAAAGGCATGAAGATGCACAGAAAGTAAGACTTAAATATACTAATTAAAGGCACTGGGTTTTCTATATTTTATAGTAAAGGAATATAAAACTTGGTCGTTCTTATGTTGAATTTACATGCATACCAATGGCTGTTTTATGTGTTCATCTTTGCATGCATTGTTTTGAATTACTTGGATTTTATATATTTTGAGGGTATAAATTGGAAACCTATATTTTCCCAAAACATTAAAGTTTAGTTTTTGTGATGGGCCTATCTTTAGCTTTCATAACCTAACTTTAAAGTTAAATAAATGAACTTCCACATTTCAAGTTAATAATTAAAGTTTTTGTTATTTCTATAAGGCTGTGGATGAGATGAATGGAAAGGAGCTCAATGGAAAACAAATTTACGTTGGCCGAGCTCAGAAAAAAGTGGAACGGCAGACGGAACTTAAGCGCAAATTTGAACAGATGAAGCAGGACAGGATCACCAGATACCAGGTTCATTTTCAGTTGAACAAGCAAAATAAGACAGGGATGAGGAAACCTATTTTATGTTTATTTTATTTACTGCCAGAGTAATGGGGAGATTTGAGAGGAGGAAAGGAGAAGAAACATGGGGTAAAACAGTAGGAAGTGTGCTTAAGTACCACCAAGGTTTTCTTCCTTTTTCTACAGTTTTCTTTTTTCTTTTTTTAGGGTGTTAACCTTTATGTGAAAAATCTTGATGATGGTATTGATGATGAACGTCTCCGGAAAGAGTTTTCTCCATTTGGTACAATCACTAGTGCAAAGGTAAGCATATGATGTCTTTTTTTTTTTTTTTCAAGATTTTGGAAAAATCCATGAATGTATTTAAATTTCACATCAATTTAGTTCTTTTTTTTTTTTACTCTGTAAATGATTAGTCAAGTAGGTCCCCACCCCCAAAAATCAATCTTTTCCTGGAAATCAAGTTTTTGCTTCATTATTTAAAAAAACATTCATATTTGATGTGGCTGTTGTAGACCAATGGGTTATTTTTGCAGATGGAGAGTTCTGAATTCTTTCTGGAGGAAGGCTGCAGTTGATGACCGTAGTTACTGATTGATCCTCAATGATATGCACTCTTCTACACTTTGTTAAACTAGTGTTTTTACTGGTTAAAGTAGGCAGTTTATTATGGAACTATACCTGTTAACTGTTGGGCTAATCTATATTCACTTACTCATTCTGGGGAGTCAAACTTTAAGCCCCGTTATAGCAATAACGAGATCATTTTTCCTTTTACTTGAAATCAGAAATTGAGAAATACAAGAGGATTCTATTCTAAATTCTGGAATTTTGATTTAAGATCCTCTGCTCTAGGTGTTTTATGTGGTGGTTTGGGGTCCAAAAATCTCTGTATGTAGTTTGAGCGCATGTACTTTGGAGGTGGGGAGGTGGGAGTAGTGTCTAAAACTTAAGTCAGGTTCTCAAAGAGTATAGGAAAAGTTAAAACTGAGTGCTCTTGAATGACCTGTGGCTCATCTTTCTACTCAGCTTTTCCTGGCAAACCTTTGACCGAGGAAGCTTCTCTGAGAAAATGAGGAAATGTTAGGGGCACAGTAGATGAATACAAATAAAAAAGCAAGTGATGTGGTTTGCTTTGTGTTTCAGCCTGTGCTTTTGTAAAGAGTACCTGGAGTGCAGTAGAATTTACTCCTGAGTGTCTTTATCCTCAGTATGTTCCCTGAAAGTTGTTTAAACTGAACATTATGCATCAGTTTATTTTGATTGTACGATGCATGCATGTTTTACAAAGGATAGCCCTTGTTAAATCTTTTTTTTTTTTTTTTTTTAAGTCCTTTGTGGATTATAATATCACGGTTTGCAAGGAGGTGAAAAGTTTGGCAAGAATTTATTTTGGAGGAGGAGGTCACTATGTTGATTTCATAATGCTTGCTGAAAAAAAAACATAACGCAGAAGGACAAAAAGTGAAAGGTGACTCCTGTGTCCATTTTTAGTCTCCAAAAAGGATGGCATTCCCAGATAATTTTTCATACTTGTCCAAAAGATATATATATTTATATAAATAGTTTTTAGAAAACACGATTATGCCATACGTATTCTGCAATTTGCTGTTTTATTTAAATACATATTTCAGGCATTGCCCCCCCCCCCCTTTTTTTTTTTTGCTAAGATCTAAATATTTATGGTATGAATACAACATAAATTATCTTACTGTACCTGTATTGATAAGTATTTGGGTTGCTTTGCATGTTTGCACTGTTAAATCCACCTTTTGAAACATTTTTACCCATATGTATAGCTCTGCATACATGCCAGTGTTTCTAAAGTACTAGAATTGAAATTGCTGGTTTGTGGATATGTATATTTAAAATAGGTACAAAGTTGTCCAAAAGGGCTGAACAAATTTCTACTAGTAGAAAGCAGTATATATCTTTTCAAATGGTGACATGGTTTTCATGTGTTAACCTTTTTTGCCTTTCTTTGCATATTTTTATATTGCATTAGTTGTTTTTATTAACTTAGGGATAATTTTATGTCAGCCTTTTGTTTTATATTGCAAATATTTTCTTGGAATCTTTCACTTTGGACTTCAGTATCTTGTGTCAGCTTACATTTTCCCCTATATTTTTGCATTTTATATTTGGATTGAGAATCTATCTGGCAATTTACTTTTTAATGTAATGTGCAGAAGAGATCTAAATTCTTTTCAGTTATCCCAATGGGCCATGTACTAAATATTAGTTCATTCAAAGTCTATCCTTCCCCACTATTTTTTAGAAGTCCAATGCACTATCCATTGCGCTACAGAGCCACCCCTTCCCCACTATTTTTTAAATGCTAACTTTAACGTACTAAATTCCCATAATTGCATGGGTATGTTTCTGGACTCTTTATTAGGTATAATTGTCGTATAACATTAGTTTCAGGTCTATAACAGTGGTTCAGTATTTATATATATTGTGAAGGGATCACTATACAGTCACAGAAAATATTTTTCTTGCAATGAAAACTTTTAAGATCTCTCCCAGTAACCTTCAAGTATACAATACAGCATTGTTAACTAAAGTCCCCATACTGTACATTACATTTACATCATTTATTTTGTAGCCGGAAGTTTATACTGAACTGCCTTTACACAGTTTCCTTGTCCCCCAACCCTCTTTCACCTACCAGTCTGTTTTCTATATCCATGAGCTCGGGAAGTTTTTCTTTTTTTGATTCATGTGAGATTATTGGAGTCTATCTTACTGTTATTTCATTTACTCCTGTGTCACCAACATACTGTTTAATGTAGCTAAGTAACGTGCTTGTGTATATTTCCAGGCTAATGAGTTCTTTGCAGCCAATGGAAGCTTCCTCCTGAATATTGATAATACCCCACTATTCATGGCCTTTCTGGTCTTTAGTGTGATATTTTTTACCTTAAACTATGTGTAAGATTCAACTGCTTTCCCTCCCTCCTTTCTCTCTAAAGAGTAGTAAAGCATTTTTTCAGCTTGAATTGCTGGAAGAGTCACACTTTAATTGGGTATTTCCAGTGGTGCTGAGTCAAATTCAGTAGGCCTTGAATGTATTTAGATATTTGAATCTTAATATCTAACTGAATATCTAAAAAAGTTGCTGTTGTGCCTCTACCCCTTTACTTCCTCCTTTGCGTGGCTCGGATAATTAATGCATGTGTGTAGCTTGCCCTTAATATTTGGGGACTAAGGACGAATTGTGGGAAAAAGGGTGAAAATATTAACAGGGTTTAGTTATTTTGAGTCAGCTATATGTAATGCTCTCCTTTTTGTGCCTCCTCCTGCCACTGCATTAACCTTGTTTAATATTTTTTTCTTTCAATAGGTTATGATGGAGGGTGGTCGCAGCAAAGGGTTTGGTTTTGTATGTTTCTCCTCCCCAGAAGAAGCCACTAAAGCAGTTACAGAAATGAATGGTAGAATTGTGGCTACCAAGCCATTGTATGTAGCTTTAGCTCAGCGCAAAGAAGAGCGCCAGGCTCACCTCACTAACCAGTATATGCAGAGAATGGCAAGTGTGAGAGCTGTGCCCAACCCCGTAATCAACCCCTACCAGCCAGCACCTCCTTCAGGTTACTTCATGGCAGCTATCCCACAGGTACGGTTTTCTATTTGGTCGTTTTTTGTTTTGTGCCAAAAGTAATAATGATAAAGCATTAAGAGGAAAATATAGGAGACGTGAATGATTGAATTTTTAAAAATGCTTAGAGTGTGAGAACCTGCATTTAGTATATAGCCAGGTATATACTTAGAGTATATAGCTAGTTGCAGCATTTGCTTTTTTTCTTTCGCTCATGTATTTTCTTGCTTTCTACAGACTCAGAACCGTGCTGCATACTATCCTCCTAGCCAAATTGCTCAACTAAGACCAAGTCCTCGCTGGACTGCTCAGGGTGCCAGACCTCATCGTAAGCCTTCCATTTTTCTCTTAAGGGGATGAATTATTTGGAATAAAAATATACATGAGGCCAGTTAGCGGTTCTATTTCAGTGGTATATTAACTTGCTTTTCATAATTTATGGTTATCAGTGTTCATATTGGGGATTCTAGCATATTTTCTTACTAAAGTTGTAAAATGCCTCACCACTTTTGTCTTACTGAAACAGTGATTGCTGTGCTGGTTTGACTTTTTTTTCTCCCCTTTAGGGTAAGTTTGGAGATGGATACAACTCTTTTTTTTCTTTTCTTTTTTTCTTTTTTTACTTTATTTGTTTTAATATGTTTTTATTGATTTTTTTTTGAAGAGAAGAGAGAGAGACATCTATGTGTGAGAAACATTGATTGGCTGCCTCTCTCATGCACCCTGACCAGGGATTGAACTGGAAACCTGGATTTGTGTCCTGACTGGGAATCAAACTGATGACCTTTTGTTGCATAGAATGATGCTCAACCACCTGAGCCACACTGGCCGGGACACAAGCCAACTCTTAATTTCATATTTGGTTGGGCAGTAGTTTTAAAAGATCTTGTTTCATGTATGAGGACCAGGGTCCTGGCATTCTCAGCCTTGCTCTGTCTGTAGAATAGTGCTGTATTGCAGGAGCATTTGGAATGAGGTTCACGTTCAGATATTCATAAGTACTTGTATGAATGAATGTTTATTTACTGATGCTCTGATAAGTCTGGGGAAACTGCAGGTGTGAGACTAAGGGTTAAATCGCGTTTACTTTTAGCCTTTTGTGGAAACCTCAGCTCTAAAAAAGCAGCATGAACACTTTCAGTGAGTTTTGCCACGTTAATGTGTGTTCATATCTTTAAACGCAGCATTCCAAAATATGCCCGGTGCTATCCGCCCAGCCGCTCCTAGACCACCATTTAGTACTATGAGACCAGCTTCTTCACAGGTTCCACGAGTCATGTCGACACAGCGTGTTGGTGAGTCTTAACCCTGCCTGTAAAAATTGATCTTCAATTTGAAGTAGCAAGGTAAATGTACAAAAATATGTTTTTGTTTTCTTTTGTAGCTAACACATCAACACAGACAATGGGTCCACGTCCTGCAGCGGCTGCTGCTGCAGCTACTCCTGCTGTCCGCACTGTTCCACAGTATAAATATGCTGCAGGAGTTCGCAATCCTCAACAACATCTTAATGCACAGCCACAAGTTACCATGCAGCAGGTAGGGACTTAGTGAATTCTTCATAAACGTGACAGAAGTCTGGTTGCAATCAAAGAAATTGAAGACAACTGTATGATGAGAGCTTATGCTGTCTTGCCCCATTAATTGATACTATGTAGAAGTGCCTTGTCTGCCTTGTACTATAGGAAACAGACAAGCATTCCACATTTCCTATTCTTAATAGCTCTTAGGTTGTATTTCTGACTCACTCAGCTTCTATTATGTTTAGATTGCAGTCTATCACTTCATTGATCTTCCAGTGATGACTGTCCCTTGTACTTGCTATTACTTCTGTACTTTAAACTTAGGAATTTTCCTATTTTACATCTAGCCTGCTGTTCATGTACAAGGTCAGGAGCCTTTGACTGCTTCCATGTTGGCATCTGCCCCTCCTCAAGAGCAAAAGCAAATGTTGGGTAAGTACTTGTGTCTTGCCTAGTCAGAGACTAGAAAATAGACACATTGACCTCCTTTGCATCTAATAACTATAGCTAGGGTAGCAAGATTGATCTGAATTGGCATGGATGATTATGATGGCACAGTTTGCCTGCCTCACTAATTTGATTAGCCCAGAAAGCTATCAATATGTTGCGTTTGATGGATAAGGTAATAGGGCATTGTACTCCTACTTGCCATACATCCCCACCACATTGTTGGAAGAGGAAATTTGAACTAAATGAGGAAAGAACTTTGACTTTGCCTGAGCACAGATTTAACACTTTAATATAGTAACATAGCTTAATCTCTTTTTTTTCCCAAACTGAGAATGCCAAGAATTAATTGCCTTAGGATCTTAATCTGTTTTATAACAGTTTTCCTATAAAAGATGTATTGAAATGGTGGATCATGGGTTAGAATATATTTGCTATATACAAAAGGTTCTTACGTCCCAGTTTTAATATGGTAGATGCCTTTTAAGATTTTTTTGATTGATGTGGTTTTTGAAATGTTTTGTCTCTAGGTGAACGGCTGTTTCCTCTCATTCAAGCCATGCACCCTACTCTTGCTGGTAAAATCACTGGCATGCTGTTGGAGATCGATAATTCAGAACTACTTCATATGCTTGAGTCTCCAGAGTCTCTCCGCTCTAAAGTAATTTAAATTTATCACTTATCTAACAACGTCTTAGACTACATATATTTTAGGGCTTTTTGTAGGAACTTCATTTCATTGGACATTTTGAAGTGCTACCTACTGGGTGGGTCAGAAGTAGGTTTACAGTTAGTTGTGAGCACATGAAACAGTTCATTCTTGGGTTATTATTTAATCTTTTTTTTTATACAAACAACTGTAAACCTTTTGCCCTACCTTGTACAAACCACGCAGAGTTCTAAGAGCTTTATAAATATTCAAGTTCTGATAATATGGTACTGAAATGGGGAAACAAGCACAGAGAGGTTGAATAATTGCCCAGTGCTCACGAAACTAGACAGTGGCAGGGCTTGGCTTCAGATCAGTCTGTTTAACTCTGTGCTCTCCATGCTCTCCTAATGGCTACTACTTTGTTAGAAAAAGAGTTGGAGGATTTTTGGTGGGAGAGAGTAAGAAGTAAAGGAGGGTTCATAATTCTAAAATGGTGGTGGAGTGGAGCCCACCCAAAAAGGTACAGATACAGTTGGAATGTTTTTTGGGTTAATAGTTCTTTCTTCTTTACCTGTGATAGACATTTTTTGTAGTATAGTCAAGTTGAGATTCTTCTAGTTAACCCTTTTCAGAGCCATTTTGTTCTTTTTTTTTTTTTTAGGTTGATGAAGCTGTAGCTGTACTACAAGCCCACCAAGCTAAAGAGGCTGCCCAGAAAGCAGTTAACAGTGCCACTGGTGTTCCAACTGTTTAAAGTGAGCTTTCCCTCATGTTTATTGTTTTAAGCTTGTTTCCTTAATCTTTTATAACAGTTTGAGCATATTTTGAAACATAGAAAAAAATTTATTTTACCATTAAATCCAAAACGTATTGCTAATTTTTCAGAGAAGTAGAACTGTAAAAGAATTATATTTTACCTGTTACCCTGGTATTGACTTGAATTTTCAAAATCAAAGCTTGATTAAATATTTGTGTAGTAAGTTTTATTAAATGGCCTGTAACAGGGATTGGCCCTTTGTGTACCTTACTCTTAGAGAGGGCTTTCCTAGCTTATACTTTTTCTTGGGTGGCAGCAATGACAGTTGTCCTTGGGCCTCTACTATTGCCCTTCAGTACTCCCAAGAAACAGGGTAATGTGCCCGTTTAGCCAGGACAGAGATTGGCAAAGCTTTTCTGTAAGGGACCAGATAGGAAATATTTTGGGCTTTGTAGGCTTGTCTTTGTTGGCAATAACTCGACTCTCACTGTGTTACAGTGTGGAAATAGCTTATAGACAGTATGTAAACAAGTGCGGTTGTTTTCTAGTAGAACTTGGGAGAAAGGCTGCAGACTGAATTTAGCCCAAGACTTTAATTTGCTACTGACAAGTACTAGTATTGGTCTTCTTACCTATCTTGTTTTGTTGGTTTTGGTTTTATTGAAGTATATTTGATACAGAGCGGGCAAGTTTAAGGTGCATCATGTTAATTTGACATATTTCTGTATTGTGATATGGTTGCTATTGTAGCAATGCTTATAGCACCTCTGTGTAATGATCCTTTCTTTTTAGTGGTTGGAATAATTAAGATCTAGTCTCAGAGCAAGTTTTATGATTATAATCTTTTTTCCCCCCACATTTACAGATTGATCAGGGACCACGAAAAGAAACTCGTGCTTCACCGAAGAAAAATATCTAAACATCGAAAAACTTAAATATTACAGGAAAAAAAAAACATTGCAAAATATAAAATAAATAAAAAAAGGAAAGGAAACTTTGGACCTTATGTACCGAGCAAATGCCAGGTCTAGCAAACATAATGCTAGTCCTAGATTACTTATTGATTTAAAAACAAAAACAAAAAACAAAAAACCACAAAAAAATAGTAAAATATAAAAACAAATTAATGTTTTATAGATCCTGAGAAAAAGAATTTTCAGCAAAGTACAAAAATTTAAAGCATTCCTTTCTTTAATTTTGTAATTCTTTACTGTGGAATAGCTCAGAATGTCACTTCTGTTTTAAATAACAGAATTGGTAACTGAGCAAGGAAACGTAATTTGGATTATAAAATTCTTGCTTTAATAAAAATTCCTTAAACAGTGCAAAGTGATGTTATGCTATTTTATTTCACTTGGCTTGTATAACTAGGTAATAGGCTGGAATTAGCATAAGAACCTCTTCAGGGGCAAAGGTATGCCTGTGTTTGTTAAATGATCTTAACATTTTTTTTGAAATGATGCCAGTTTATGACTATATTTTAAGGTTTCTAGCCTGGGAGATAATTAGCTTAAGCCTTCATTTTTATAGAAGACAGTAACAACAGTTACTCTGTATAGAGGAGAGTGTCTTGGGAATAATTTTTATATTGATTAAATGTCAAAAAGTTAGGATTCATTTTAAGCCTTATTTTTGAAAGGTCTTAGATAACGATTATGACTTCATCTCAGTAATACCTTATCCCCAAAGTACTTCTGAAAAATGAAGATTAGGGGCTCTATCTCTAGAGAATTGATTTTAGAAGATCAGGGCCAAGGCCCAGGACTGCCTGAAACAAATCCCTGGCAATTTAAATGCACTTTTGAGAATGGTTTCAATACCAGCTCTATTACCTTTGAGAGCAAATAAATAAATACAAATGAAATCATTCCTATGACACTGTCAGCCCTTTCTGCATGATGAAGCCTTACAATGTTCTGTACCTAGGATGCTTTTCACTTTGGTTGGCTTCCTGTTTTGAAACAAAACCCACCTCTGTCCCATAGTTTAAAACAGTGTACCCCCTTCCCCCGCCATAGGCATTCTAATGATTTTTTATTTTGCCTAACCACAGACTCAGCCTCTAAGGGGCTTGACAGTGCTTTAAGATAAAAACAATTTCTCAGTCACCATGAAAGTTTTTCCTCAATGCTTTAGGAAGGTAGAGAAGTATATGCCCTATTTTTCAAAATCCAGTACAAAACAGTTCAAGCTTTGAGGTTTTAAAGGAACAGACTTTAGTTTGAGACACCTTAGAAGTTGTATCTATAAACTTCCCACAGTTTAAAACTCTTCTAAAATCTAGAGTTTCAGATAAGAGTTTGCAGACAGTAGCTTGCTTTATATGATTTTATGTGATGCAGATAAATCTGTTCTGCAAATACTTCTGACTGGATGGGAAGTGGTGACCTCTCCCATGAAGGAAGTGAAAAGCAAAAGTGGTAAGTGACTGCCTGGCTACTACAGTTGTATGAAACCAAACTGGTTACCCCCAATACCCCAGGTGCCAAACCCACACTTCCCCCCCATTCATATGTCAGCTCCTTGCAAGTACTCCTGAGTGCATCCCAAGAGCCAGATCCAGTAGACATAGTTATTATGCCCAGATCATAGGTAGGCCAGGCTCAATGGGCAAAGGAAAAACCACAAACGAGCTATAGTGTCACAATCTGGACTATAAGAGGTGTTTAATAGTCTGTTGAATTGTAAGAACAAAAGAGGACATAAAACCTTGGTTCAAAAAGTGTCTGTTACTTCAAATGCAAAAGCAGAAATGCATACCTACAAACACTTATTCAAGGAAATACGGTATCACAGAATTCTCCAAAAACTAAATGCAAAGGCATATGATCTGAGAAAAATTAAAATAGTTCTATGAAGAAATTCAGTGAGCTACAAGAAAACTTAGTTCGATGAACTCAGAAATAAGGCGTGGCTCAGCAGTTGAGCATTGACCTGTGCTCCAGAAGATTGAGGTTTGATTCCCAGTCAGGGCACATGCCTGGGGTTTCAAGCTCCTTCCCCGGGGGCGGGGGG